ACCCTGAGCTGGTGAGATTTGAACAGCCGAACTGCAGAACTGCAGTCAGCTGAAGTAGCCTGCAGTGCTGCATTTAACCACTGTGCCACCTCGGCAGCAGGAGCTCTAAAGCTCTTCCAGAGAGGGGAGAGGGCAACCCATGATCCTCCGGACAATGACGTTGACCCTCTGGAGCCCTGTCCTATCTGCCACTGTGCAATTCACAAACCATAGAGAGGCGCAGTAAGTTAAAATACTCTCTATGGTGCAGCGGTAGAAGGTCACCAGCAGTTTTTCATTCAGTTGTTGTTTCTTAAGAAATCTCAGGTAATATAATCTCTGCTGGGCCCTTTTGACCAGTGCTGCAATGATCACGTAATTGTAGGCAGGCTGCAATGGTCGTACATGTGAAAAAGGATCATCAAGTCAACATTTTTCAGTGCCGTTGTAACTTCGAACAGCCATTCAATGAATTGAATTGCCAGTCAAGGGCTACCTGTATCACCGTCTTTAATTCGTATGCCTACCCTCTGCCTGTGTGTTGTGTGTTATTTGGCTCACCTTCCCCACATCTCGTGATCAACTCACCACAAGAAACTTAATGTCTGTGGAGAGTCTCCATCATCCCAGGTCAAGGTTGTCTCAAAGTTGCTTTTTCAAGAGGCAACTTTGGACTTCCTTCGTTTTTCCTTAAAGAGATTTCACTTCTCCTCCCAGAAGCTTCTCCAGCTCTGGCTGAAGTTCCCCACCATTCAGTCAGAAGTGAAGAAGTTTCTTGGAGGAGAAGCCAAATAATCTTCAAGGAAGAAGTCCAGTTGCCTTTTGAAAAGGGAAAAAAAACTCACTGTTCAATGCACTAACGGCAGTACTTGATCTCTGCTTTCAGGAAAGATTATTCCGGAGAGTACACCATCTCCTTAATACCATGTACGGTCCAACCCACACAATCTTGGGTTGATCCGGGAGACAAGCCTTTACCCTGCACTGCTCATGCTCCAGAAAAGTAAGTGGGTGTTTACGTTGTTTCATGCCTGAAGATGAGCGTCACTATTTAAAAACCACACGCACAAAAAGGGGAAATTTTCAGCAGGCGCGGAAAGGGCCAAAGGCTAGAATACTTTGCTTTAAATTCTGGAATTGGGAGAAGTTTAGAAGCTTGCTACATCAGCTTCCCCTACAGTATCTTGGTACAGGTTTGAGTGCATTTCTTGCGCATAAGTATGCTTAAAGTCAACGAGGGGAACACAAATGGGGACAATTAGAGGCACACTAGTCGGGAAGCATCTGATGAAATGTAGGCTGAAATATTAACAGTAATCAGGCGCGGGGCTATTATCCGGAGGGATTGTAAGAGGATGTGCGTGAGAGAAGACATCAGTGTCCAGATAATTATACATGACTGGTGGAATGTAAGCTGGAAGAATTTAAAACAATACACATACTTGTGATCCTGTAAAGATCTTCTCGACCAGGGGTGTCAAATTGAAGGGGGGGGGCAGAATAGGCTCATGGGGTGCTTAAATTTGGCCCGCGGGGCTGCCCTGGAAATGGGAAGGAGTGGTCCGCGGCGTGACCCGACAAATGCACGCACGTCAAAAGCGCGGCAACGAAACCGTGCCGACAAAAACCGCAATGTCATACACACGCCCACAACAACGCGCCGACAAAACCGCGCCCACAAAAGCGATTTCAGTTAAGGTAAGGGTTAGGTTGAGGGTTAGGTTTAGGGTTAGGTTTAGGGCTAGGGTTAGAGTTATTCGGTTGTTATTACTTGTTCGTTGAAGGCGCGCTTTTGTCGGTGCTCTGTTGTTGGTGCGCTTCTGCGCTCATTCGTCGGCGCGATTTCGAACTCACAGTTTTTGTTGCCGCGGTTTTATCGCCGTGCTTTTGTCGAGCGCGCATTTGTCGGTGAACCGGTCCGCGATGCCTCAACGAGTGAAAACAGAGCTCGGGAGAACTGCGTGCCCCACCCCCCAGCTAGGCTCCGTTTTCGCTGGCAGAGGGCTAGCAAAAGAAACTAAAAACGAAACAATTGAGCATTCAAGAAGGGGGACGACAAAGAAGGAAAGATGGGAAGAGAGCAAGGAAGGAAAGAGAAGGGAAGAGGGGAAGGAAGAAGAAAGGAGAATGAAGAGGGACAGAAGGAAGGAGATTATAAAGATGGGGAGGGGGGGTCTCAGGGAAGTCCCGCCTTACCACTTGGCCAACACAGGTGCCCCTGACACAAGTGATATTGGGATGGCCACGCCCACCCCGGCCCTCCGAGATCACACACAACCTTGATGTGGCCCTCAATGAAATTGAGTTTGACACCCTGTTCTAGACCCTGCCAGCCAAAACCCCTTGGCCGACAGGGCCCCCAGCATGTTCCTTCTGTTAGATGAGGCCAATCCCATTCGGGCAAGATATATATATATATATTATATATATATATATATATATATCAAGGGTAAGAAAT